TAGCTCTATACAGGCAGAACTTCGTGTGTGTCATGAGGATCTTTTACTATGTGTGTAGCTTGATTCTTCTTGCATAGGTATGGAACATGATTAAGATAAGGAATAGACACTAGGAGACTGACACTGTTATTTAATGGTAAGAATGTTTTCAGAAATAATTTGAAAAGCCATTTTGTGCTAAATTTTACCCTCCGTTATTGAGAGATTCTGTTCCCCCAGATGTAGTACATAAATGCTGTTCTTAGTCATTTTTCCAGTTTTGATCTTCATGACTAGTGTTTTGTTCTTTTACAAATTAAATCCGTATTTTTCTCTGGTTCCTTATTTCTCTTTTATACTGAAATAATCTGTGACATTTGAAAGTCAAATTGTTTGAGCTCACAATTTACATCTTTAGATCATTTGACAAGATTTCGAGACGATTTTAATGAGCCGTGCCACCTTTTCAGGTTAGATAACATGATGTTCTTGTCGTATATGAAACTGACATTTTGGCAAATGGTTTGGATGTTATCGCATACAGAATTTTGCGAAAATAAGCATGACATGATCTGGACATCAAAAAGATAACTCAGGACAATGACACCTGCAGTTCTATTTCAGGGGCCATAACCTATTAGGTAATGAATAATTGGGAACATGCCATCTTGATACTCTATTGTTCAGATGTGCCTGAAATCTTCTCTGATTCCAACCAATGTCTCAGCTGCTACTAGTGCACGTTAATGAACAGCTCATCTATAAAGTATCTAAAAGATATTACATCTTCAGAAGCTATTGGGAATACCTGTAAGGTTCCATATGTGAGCTGTATTTTCCACTAGGATACTCTTAAAAATCTGATTAACATAGTACTGAAGAGAATTTTAGTAACTTTGAAAAGTGTAAGAGTTGAATTTTAAGTGGAAGATGGCTTTGTATACAGTTTTGGGGAAAAACCCCTTCAAATATTTTTATTTTAATTCATCATTATATAAATATGAAAATACAGTTTTATTTGAGTACTTTGGAGTTTTATAATATAGCATTGACTCTAGATGTTTTTTGTTTAGCTTGCTCATAGCAAAGACTGTCAGTTGAGGAACTTCTCTGAATCTTCTCTTTAGGTGTAACAGTTGGATGGCCACTTCCTTTTACAGGTTAAGAAATTCAGTTCCTCCAGAGACGAAGAGGGCTCACGGCTGTTTCTGCTGAAGTCCAAACCACAGAAATGGTGTGATTAAAGGAAATATGTTTTCCCATCTGAGGATTTTAACTGTATTTCTTTTTTAAAAAATCACTTATTTTTAAATGAAATACTTCGTGGAATTATTCTTTTTTTAATAGGTGGGAGAAATGATTTTTAAAGAAGATAACCTGGTTAGTCTCATACTGCAAAGGACCTGGAATTAAGATCTATATTCTTAAAATCAATGTAGTTGACTACTTCTGTAATATTTATTTTTTCATTCATGGAACAAATATTTACGTTGACTGATTAATATGCACCTAGAGATAAGATAATGACCAACAAAGGGCCTTCAGCAGGGAGCTTCCCTTCGGGTAGGGCAGAAAGACTGTCCTAAAGTAAGGGACGTAGATAAGAAAATGCTCAGGGAAGGCTTGTCTGAAGAGATAACATAGGAATGAGGCCTACAAGCTGAGTGGAAACCAGCAGTGAAAAACAGGATGAAAGCGTTCAGAGGAAAACAGTAATAAAGTGCTCAAAGGCCTGAGGCAGTTAGAACTGAAACTCCATTGGAGTAGTTGAGGTGTATGGTGGCGGTACGTGGTTACACAATGGCAGGAAGGGTCTCGTAAGCTGTGTGACGGGTGTGGATTTTATTCTAAGAGTAGCGGGAAGCTGCAGTGTGGGGTTTCAGACGTGGAAATCACAGTTTAAGAAGTTATCTTTGCTGCACTGTGGAGATGGCAGCCAGGGTTTGGATAAGATGGTAAGCATAGAACAGTGTTGAGGAGGGTGTGGCAGTGCTTCAGATGAAATGTGGTTTGGGCTGAACCAGGGCTGCAGAGAAGTGAAAAGAAGTAAACGGATTCATGATTGCTTCAGAGGTGGAATTGGGGGGCCTCAAACCCTTGGTGAAACTGGTTCTTTTTAATTTTGTCCTTTTGCATCTCTACCAACTCAGTAGCTGAAGAAGGACATATTATTGTTTTAAATTTTTTTAACTGATGAGATTGAGGTTTTTTTGCTCCACATTTGTTTATTTGTGTGTGTGTGTGAATGACCTATTTGTAATCCTTGTTTAAAGTTTTTTTCTAAACAGAATGTTAAGAGCTCTTTATATTTGAGATCTGTGACAGGTTAAAAAATATTTTGTTCTGTGTTGTAATTTGTCTTAATTTCACTTGTGGAGTATTTTGACTGTTTTATTTTGACTGTGTTTTACATTTAAAGCTGTGGTTTATATACACTTGTCACGTGTTTGTTAAGGTGATAGACTTCATAAATGCATGTGAACTCGAGAGAACACTGTTCATGACTCATTTTGAACTTACTTCAGTATGATATAACACAGTGATACATATTCAGGGCTTTTTAAGAGTAAAGAACTTATTTCAACTAATGCAAAATAGCTGTAGCTGTGTTTATTCAGATTTTTTACTTTTTAAAAAAATTGTTTTAATATACCTTTTGTTAACTCTTTTTACAACTCGGGTAATTTTATATAACATTTTATAGTTCAACTGTCATCATTAATTAATTTCAAAGGTTAATTTTGTTGCCTTAGTTACAGAAGTCAGAATAAAGCTTATTAAAGATTTATAGAGAGCAAGAATAAATATTTACAGTGATTGTCTTAGGGTTAGCCCTTCTGGTAAATGGTGCACTCTTTAATTGTAGGCTTTTGTACTTCTCTGAGGTCCTACATCTTAGACATGGTCTTGTTTAGATGAGATTTCAGGATGGCTCAGACACGCAGTCTGTTTGCCTGAAAAACTTGGGTAATGGCTGTGTTGCAAGTACAGATATAAGGAGCATTAGCTGATGGGTTAAGGGCTCTAATTCTTTTCGTTCCATGACCTAGTTGTGTTGCTTAGGCTTAGGATCTTTTGGTAAATATCTCCAAAATCTTTTACAGCTTAGGAGGGGCACTGCGGGGAGACTGTAGTTTAATAGACTTTCTGCTGCCCCCCTGTGGTACCTTAGCCCAAAGCTAGCGCTGTAGTCCCTGTATGACCTGAGCCTGTGCTGTAGCGCTGGCCAACCTCCCTTCTAGGCAGTTTAGCTTTGGTGCTATTAAACAGCAGCGAAGTGATAAAGAAGCTCAGTGGAGATGGGCCCTGGGAATTTGGGAAATGATCAGATAGAACCAAGAAGTCATGATCAGTGGTGCCTGGAGAGAAGTTGAAGCATTGATAGATGTTCATTTTTAAGAATCAGCATAATTGTTGTCAGAAAAAAGGTGCTTAATGCATCTTTTTTGAGTGTGGAGATAAAGGTGCAGGAAATCTACACTTGGCTTCCTCAAAACCCAGAAAGAGGAAGACCAGGGAAGGAAACAGAGGGAGTCATTCCTGGGAGAAGGGTCAGACATGGTGGGAACGTGGGCAGTGTCTTCAGCCCCCAGAATGCTATCTAAGTGCCTGGTATGAAAATAGTTTGAACTCACTACCTATTAAAGTAGGTATTAGTATTTTATTTGGGGAGAGAGACTCGAACTTGATTTCTTCTACAGGACCTGTGAGTTGTTGCTAATTTTAAAACATGGTGTTAGACTCCAGGGTCACATTCCTTAAATTAGCTCTCCTTTACCTCAGTGAGTTAAATTTATTTTTCTAAGTGTAAGTTTAGAAGAAATTTGGTAGACTTTCTCTTGCTGAAATGGAAAAGCTTTAGTTGTCCAGCTAAGTGGGTATTCCTAATCCTTAGTGGACTGTAAAAACATACTTCACTATACATAAGATTTTTTATTTTATGCTAATCAGTAAATCGTGTTTCTTTTTCTAATTTTTTTTTAGCCTGTTAGTAACACTAGGCAGTCCCAATTTAAACACCAAAGGCATACTATAATTAGTTGCATTTCATTGTTATGTGGTGATTGGGGCCCCAGTAAGTCTTCCAAAATTCATACATTATTAAAAATGGTCACACTTCTGAGTAAAATAATGAGCATAGATCTAAGTAATAATTTCATACTACTTTTGAGTAGCAGGAGCATTCAGGGAAAAAAGCCTAGAAACTGTAATATTAAATTTCCTATGACATTATAATGACATATAAGACAAAAACATATTTGAAATCTGAACTGCCTTAGAAAATCTGGGAGAAATTGTTACTCTATTTATTTAAAATGTATCTAAATTGTATGGCACTGTTCTTCTCATCATTTACATAGTATTAAAGAGGCCTTTCCTAGTACAATAGTGTAACTGAAAATACAATAAAAATTCTGTTGGGTTGGCCAAAAAGTCCATATGACTTTTTTCCATAAAAGACACATTTTTTTATTTTCACCAATAACTTTATTGATTTGGATATTTTGATATGTCAGCAGTCTTCTGTGTGGTATAACATTGATTGTTCTCAATTAATGTCTCAATTTGATTTCTGTCAATTTCAACTGGCCTACCTGACTGTGGAGCATTGTCCAGCAAGAAATCTCTGGTACGAAATTTCACAGATCACTTTTGACACATTCAGCCAGTCACAGCAATGTCTTCATAAACTGCACAAATCTTTTTTTTGTGTTTCAGTTGAGTTTTTACCTTTCTTGAGATAATAAAGCATAATATCCCCCAAATATTGAATATTTTCTTCCATTTTCAATATTAAAGTGGCTGCACAAATATTTACTAATTTTGGTAAGTTTTTTTATACATGCTGATATGACAGCTGTCACAATATAATCTAACTGAACTGTTTCAGATGAAGTTAAAGATAACTAAGGGCTACTAGAACCATCTTACAGAAAAAAATCAAATGAACTTTTTGGCCAATCCAATACATTGGCATACTTCAGGGAGAAAAAAAAATATTTTTCCTCTACCCATCCTAGGTTCTCTGGCCACGCCTTCAGAATCAGACAAAAAAATGGATTAATAAAGAAAAGCAAACAAGTTTATTAATACCTGTGGAACATACACATGGGAGCAGTGAGTAACTCATAGGTGTGGTAAGAACTTGGGCTGATGTAAATCTTAACAAACAAACTAACAAGTTTTAGGGAACTGACAAGACAAAGGAAAAGGACTTTAAGCTTCTGGGGCAGCAAATGTGTAAAGACAAATATATAGGGAAACTAATTGTAGATAAATGCTAGTTTTTTTAGCACGGTTTGTTAGATTGCTCTGATCCAGTCTCTAGCCGGATAAGAGTCTAATGCTGTCTCCAGTGATTAACTGCTGTCCTTCCTGTTACAGAGGAGAAGGGGAATACTTTTACAAACTTATGTCCTGCTTTTAGGCAAATACAGGACACTCTGGTTTTTTTTTTTTTAAGTCACCACTGGCTCTTCTGGTCAGGGACGGAAATACCAATCAGGAAGTTCAAGGCTGGAGAGTACATGCTGTGGTCGGGGTTTAAGACAGAGGAAAACGTATGCAGGGTGGTGAAAAGCAGGATGGTAGATGAAACATTCTTTAAGATTTCTTTTCCCATTTCCTTTAAAATAATACAGCATAATAATAACAGAAATTATTTTGTATTTTCAGCCATTGTTCTTGTGATTCAAGTTAGTAGTAAGCTAGGAAAATTCATTGGCAAGTGGAACAGGAAAACTGAGACAGATAGTTGAACACAGTAGCCAAACGATGTACAGCCAGGTGTAGACAGTCCCCTGAGCACAAGACCTGAGTGCCTGGCAGGGGGCAAAACCAGGAAAACAAGGGCCTGGCTTTTCCTCCCTGGAGATAACATCTAGGCCAGGGGTGTCCAACCTGCAGCCCACAGGCTGCATTATGCCCAGGATGGCTATGAATGCAGCCCAACACAAAACCGTAAACGTACTTAAAACATATTTTTGTGATTACATGTCACAATGTATTTAATGTATGGCCGAAGACAACTCTTCTTCCAGTGTGGCCCAGAGATGCCAAAAGTTTGGACACCCCTGATCTAGGCCTAAGTTGTATTTCAGCTCCAGGCCCAGAAAAGTAGCAAAACCGGGTGGGTGAGGCCAGAACCAACTGCAATGATGAAAGACCCCCTGCCCTATCACTGACCAATCAGTGGAGACCCTGACTGTGAAAGGGCCCACCTAGAGAATTGATGAATATTCTGCTGAAAGCCTCCCCTGACACTTCCCCTAAGACTCCCACCCTCAAGAAAGAAATTAAAGCCTTAAGACAAAGGACCCAGCATGCCAGCTCTCCCTCTGGGGAACAGCCAGCACCATTTCCTTTTCCTTCTCCACTGAACGCCCCCCCTCCCCCACCCCACTCCTTTCCCCACAGGCATGCAGTCTCCTAAACTCTAAGGCAATGGCAGCTGGCAGCTTGTACTGGGCTAATCCTCTGAACCTGTCCCTAAGGCCCCTTTTTTCCTGACTTCCCAGTGAGCTAAGGCAGCAAGCCCAGGCTCTCCTGTTGCTTCCTCTATACTAAGCCCTCCTTGTTTCATTGTCCTCAGTTTTAATAAACGTACCCTCATAGTCACCTGGACTTGTGTTATGAAATCTTTCCTGCATGAGGTTAAGAACCCGCACACTACAGCTGACGTGAGGCAGACCTGCTCAGGGCAGGCCCTGTCCGGTAACACTTGGGCACTTGATGAACCCTCTTAATCCAGCAATTCACGTCCCTGTGAGTTTTGAGAAACTTTCTCGAATGATTTTTTTAGATTATGGCTTCCTTCTGTTTTTTATCCTCATGCTCTTTCTTGAGCTCCTACTATTCACATACTGAACTTCCTCAATTACTTTTAATGTCTTATTTTTTCTCTCAATTTTCCATCTTTCTGTCTTGATATTTTGATTTCTAATTTTTTAACTTTATTTTCTGTTGTGTCTGGTGAGTTTTTCATAGTTAGGATGAATTTTCAAAAGCTGTTTTTAGAATTCTCTGGGTGTTTGGGGGAGGGTGGTGTTAGTGCCAGTTTGATCTTGCTGGACATTGTCTTTGAGAATGTTAGTAGTTTTTCTTTTTTAACATTACCATTTTCTTACTCTGGTTTTTTCAAGTTCCTTTTTGTTTTGATCTCTTGCTGACCTACCTATTAGGATTTCAGAGTTGAATTTTAGCTGTGCATTCATATGTTAAAGAAGCACTAACAATGCTTGAGCATACTTTGCATGAGTGGAGGTTGTATGTGTGATTTTGCTATTAGTGTTCTTAGGACTTTTTCTTAAAATGTCTGGGGTTTCCAGTAGAAATGTATCTGGTCATCTACCAGGAAGTTTTCATTCTGGCTCCAAGTATTTTAGATGTCTATTAACCGTTAAAGGCAAGGGCAGACCCAAATTAACATCTCTTTGTAATTCTTATTTAATTCCTTGTGTTTAATACAATTCTTCCGCTTTCAACTGTGTGGTGTCCCTAGTCTAGACTCTCCATTTCCCTTTTCCAGAGAATAAACTTCTAGTCTTCGCTGGTGAGTGGGAGAGAGGCACTTGTTCATCTGTGCAAAGTGAGAATCTGGAGGTAACTTCTTTCAACCAATTGTTCTATTTTTAGCTCCACCTTCTCCCTATTTTGTAAGGTACTTGGTACCATCCATTTCTCACCCTTTTAAGGTTTGTGTTATGCAAATCAGATAACTTCTCACCTTTCCACTCTGCTGGCTCTAGGTAGTTTTCTTGGGTCTACTAAATTGCTAACTAGTTCATCTGCTTCCCAATTTCCTAAATTCAGTTGCTGCTAACTCCTCTTTATTCACTTTACCTTTTTTTATTTTTAATCCCTATACTGTCATTTCAGGGGACTTTTAAGAAGCATTGGAAACTAATGCATGTGTTTAGTTAGACATCTTTTTTGAAATCTGATTCATCTTTTGAGTGACCGGATTCATTTTTTTTTCCTCTGCCCCTTTCTTCCACCACCACCCACTGCCACCGAAAAGAATATGTAGGTGCTAGACAGCTTGAGTTTTTGAGGTTTGAAAAAAAAAACATTAATTGCCCTTAAACTTATGTACTTTTGATTTTTGCTTGATTTCTTTTACCTTTTGACCTCCCTTTAACCTTTCACTTTCTCGCCTTTCTTCCTGAGGTATCAGTGGGTTACAGGCCAAGAGGGGAACCTGGGATTTTTCTGTACTTTATTTAAACATAACTGCCCTCTTCTTCCTTTTGTTTTATAATCATGTTTTTTTTTCTTTCATGATGGTTTCAATTTTTTTTCTTTTACCTCTTTAATAATAGTCACTCCACAGCCTCTTCAAATACTTACTGTATTTTCTCAGGCTCATGATTTTGTATGCTTCCTGTTTGTCACACCAGCCAAATCTACCTCAGGGCAGATTATTTCTTCACGTGATTTATACTTTTGAGTTGTTTATTTGTCCTCAGTAGAGGTTACTTCCCCTCCCCAGCCCCCCTCGGGGAGTCCTGTGAACTCATGCTTGTTGAAGGATCTCTGAGAGACAATTTTGCATTTACTTTCCTTTTGTGTTGGCAGGTAGTGTAAATTTGGAATCTGTATTATTGTGTGCTAACTAAGTGTGTTCAATGTTTCTAGTCCGTTAGGGATCCTTGCTTTATTCAAGGGTCTTTGTTCCAGCTCCCTGCCTCAATCTGGCCTCAGGCTGTGTCTTCTGCCCAGGCTTGATCTTAAAACCCTGTCCCCTGGCCACCAGGTCCGAGGCTGGTTACCCCTCTGGGCTGCATGTGTTAGCTTATATCCTTTCCACTCTGGCTTTGAGATTCCTCTCTTTTTATGCATGGGAAGTTCCCTCTCTTTATTTTGAAATGAATTGTGGTATTAAAAATTTAGCAGTTATATTTTCATAGGTTTTTAAATGCTTGGTGTACAAAAAAGATATATATCACTGGGGCCATGTTATAGAACCCGAAGCCATCTCTTTTGCATATTCATTTATTCGCGTGCTCAATAGACATTTACTAAGTGTCTACTGTGTTAAGCTCTCTAGGTTCCAACACCAATGAGACTGTGCTTTCTAAAGGTGATAATCCAAGAAGAACAAAAATTTAAGGTTGGAACGATATTGTAGGTGAAAAGAATGATGTGCAAGGTGTAGAATGAATGGGGTGAAGGAAACTACTACACAGTTGAGTGTGGGTATAACACAGTACCAGTGCTTGTGTAACTGAAAAGACACTGGCATTCGGGCCACCTATCACTACCAAATCCAATAAGCAGTGACAGTGATTGAATCTTCTGTGGGTTGCTTTATTCACATGGCCGGTGATCCGAGAAGATGCCGGATTCATACCCAAACAAACAATCTTCCCTTCTCTTTCCTGGCCAGATCTTTTATAAGGGGGGTGGGGGAGGACAAGCAAGGAGTGGTGAGGGCTTTGAGATTTAGAAGCTGCAACATTCCTGCCCTGAGCAGTTAGCTGATCTCAAGGGTGAGGGGTGGTCAGTCTGCTCTCCTGGAACAAAGGTTCGGATGTCCCCAGGTGGTAGTCTTCTATCAGTGCCTCAGGAGGTCGGTTGTTTTTCCCTGGAGCCAGGATGGGCCTTATCTGTAGTTTCTGAAATAAAAGCTGTAACATACACATTATTTGCTAGACTCATAACTTTTTACCTGAAGCTAAAGTTTTCAAAGTCTTGAGTCCCCTATCACTTGTAGGCAAAGACTGAAAGGTAAAGGTCATGAAATAGGCTGGATGGTAGAAGGCCTTGGTGCTAAGCCAGGGAGTCTGAATATTGTCCAGAGAGCTTTGGGAGCAACCACAGGTCTTATGCATCAAGTGAGGAGATCATATTTTTTACAAAAAGTCCCATCTGATAATGCTATGGAGGTAGATTGCAGTTGAGCCACACAGGAGGCAGAAACGTAAGCAGAAGCAAATGGGGACAGGAAAAGGGGAGCAGATTTGAGAGCGCCTTCAAGGAGGAATCTCCAGGAGTTAGTGGCCAATTAGCTATAGTGGATGATGGAGCAAAAGAGTCACAACATGGCAGTCCCATGGGCCAGATTCAGTTTGCATAGTTTTTTGTCTGTTTTTCATTAAAACACTCAAATTTAAATTGCACTGGGTGTGGCT